AATTCACGCAGCTCATTTACACACTTTTCCTGAAGATAGAAGAGTTTGTTGAATCTGACGTGACATGTTCGTACGAACCCTTTGTACGAACAAAAGTGAGAGAAATTTAGGAGAAGAATACAAACATGTTCTTGCATGAGGCCCATTGAGCTCAAATCTGAGGTGGGAGTAGCTGAGAGTTACCTCCAACTCACACTCTGACTGTGACCTCTTGTAGTGTTACACAAGATTGTGACATTGTTGTCGAGGTTTGACCAACACAGCTGTAACTTCATGATGAGATGAACTGAATGTCCTGAGAACAGCTGTAAAGACAAACAGCTCACCTCTGTGAGACCCAACGTTAGGATTTCCTGAGCCTCCTCCTCGTCTTGGTGCTGCTGATCCTCCTCTCCACGGTCTACTCCTCCATCCACCACCTCCCCCGGCTCCTCTCCATCCACCACCTCCCCCGGCTCCTCTCCATCCACCACCTCCCCCGGCTCCTCTCCATCCACCACCNCGGCTCCTCTCCATCCACCACCTCCCCCGGCTCCTCTCCATCCACCACCTCCCCCGGCTCCTCTCCATCCACCACCTCCCCCGGCTCCTCTCCATGAACCTCTCCGGGGGTCCTGTGAACTCATCCCTTTGAAAAGAAACATGGAGGAACAGTTTGTTATTGTCACACTTTATTGCAGCAGCTGTTGCTGTTTGTCCAGTCAAATACAGACCTGCAGCTCAGCCGTGTGTCTCTACATGAAGAGAATGAAAGTAGGCTGGACCGGGTCATTTACACCTGGTACAACAGAATTAAACTTTAATATGTCTGTTTAAAAATACGTCTAACTTCAGCTGTTGTTACGGCTCATATTTAAATCAAGATATTTCCAGTTTCTGTCCGTGAGGCTGACACTGTCTGCTTCTGAGACTGAACACTTTCATTTTTCATGTTAGACTTAGGTTTCCTGCTGTTTGTTACTTCATGTGTCTCAGACCCGTAATAATTAAGAAGAAATTAAACTTTGTTCTCAGCAGATAAACATGTTAACATCTGTCAAACATGCTTCTAAATGTTTGGCACTTTTATAAAGTTAAAACATTTTGTTTAAAAACACAGCACGACAACTGTCCTCCTACAGCAAATATCAGGTATTTCTCTCTGTTATGTTCAGGTTCACAGTGACGTCATTTCTTTTTTAAATGTTACGAGTCAATAAAACGCATAAAACTTCGTTTTTCTTTTAAAAAATTATAAAATAATGTAAAACTCACTATTAGGACGTTACGATCTTGACTTGTTAGCATAAGTTAGCAGTCAAACTTCCCTCCGCTCGTGACGCTTTTCTTTGTTACTTCCGGTCCGGGCGGCAGATGAGCCTGAAGGTGTTTTACTGCCCCCTGCAGGACAGCAGAACTACTGCAGGTTAAATACAGGTCACCTCTCAAACTGAGGACCAGTTAAAACTGATCTTTAAAGGGTTTTAGAAAATTAAACATTTAAAATCAAATTTAAGGTTAGATGGAAAAAAACAACACGTTCTGCTTTTAAGTTTTTTGTACAAATTATTTTTGTTACTGTTTTACTCTTTTCTGTTGTCAGACGGTGTCTTTTTTAACTCAGAGGAAAATGTTTCTTTTTTTTCTCCACCTGATTATTATTTGCATTTATGGTCACATTTTTTTTTACCCAGTTTGACTGGAACAGATTGAAGACATACTGTAGAGTTAAAAACAAATATATTTCTAAATAAACTTTCAAACTGAATCAGAGGGCTCTTTCACAAAACCAGGAGAGGAGATTAAAGGGATTTTCCAGATATTCTGGCTGAATTAAGCCTCAATTGAGTTTCAGAAAAGCAGAAGTGCAGAAGTTCCCATGGTGGCTCAGCTCTGTTCAGTCACTGGTCTCCTGTAATAAAACACCACTGAGTCATTTTGACCTTCAGTCAACTACTATTATTATTTTAACATTATGATGCTTATCATTATAAATGTTAGAATTCTCCATTTGGACACTGTTACTGTTTATCATTGATGAAAACCTCACATAAATTATTTAAAAATAATCTCTTAGACAGTTAATAAAGCTCTGTTTATGTTATAAAATGTAATAATTGTTCCACACTTAATCTATTGCATTAAAGTCTCGGGAAACATGTAAAACAATTATAAATCCTATTTTTATATCACAGAAAAGAGCTTTAATTATTATTATTAGAAAACATTACAGTCACCCATCAAACATATTGTTTTATCAGTTGAAATGATTGAAATATGATTTGGTTGATTTAATATTTTACAGGTTATACAGCTCACAAAAACATGTTTCCTCTAAACATCCAATTAAATTTAGTTAATAGAGAAAGTTATTCTGATCTTAAGAGATAGAGATGTTTGTTAAAGCTCAGTTTAGGACCAGTTTGAAGGAGCCGTGGACTTCAAGGATTAAGATTATTGAATAATCTGGAGAGAAAAATGAAAAATGTCAGATTAAAGTTTTGTGTTTAAGAAAATGATCAAAGCTGGTTTGTTAAAGAAATATAATAATATGTGTGTATTCCCAACAAGTTTAGTTTGAAAAGGATTTAATGTTTTTGTTATTTGTACAATAATATTGTTTGAATTTATTATTTGGAACAAAGGAGCAAATATACGTTTTTTCTTCTTTCTGCTGCTTTTTCATTTCATTTCTATTTTTTATTGTAAAATAATTAATTTTTTTAAATGAATAAACCTCAGAAATACATTTGCAGGGTTTTAACAACGTCCATCCTAAACTGGGCAGGTGGAGGGGGTCTGGAGAGACCAGCAGGACATCCTGGTGGACTTCTCTGGACTGGAGTCCTGTGAGGACAGGAGCAGGGACAGATGGAGGGGGGTCTGACTGGACTCGATGGAACAGAAGCAGAGGACTGGGGAGACCCTCTCAGCTGCCTGGAGTCCAGCAGAGACCGGGCCAGAGGCAGGGACCCCTGGACGGGTCAGCAGTCCGTCCCAGACTGGTTCAGTAAATAAACAGGATTCTGTTGACACTTTTTAAAGCTTCTGATCTGTTTTTATTCTAGTTGTTAGAAACCATCAGACCAGGTCCTGGACCCACCTGCTGGTCCACAGGAGTCAGGTAGACCCTGGTCAGGTCAGTGGTCCGTCACAGACTGTTCAGTACAAAACCTGAAGACAAGAAAACAGAAATAAAACCTGTAGAAGTACACAAGCTGCTCTGGAGGTTTCTTTAACCAAGTTATTAACCTTTGATTGTTTCCAGCTGTTAGTAAACAACAAAACAAACTAAATATTAAGACTCAGAAAATGTAGAAACATCATTTAATCAAATATATCTTTGAAATTGTACTTATCTTTTCTTTTTCCAGGAGTTGGTGAGCTACAAAAATCAGCACAAGATACTTTTATTTTACTAAAACTGTGTAAATATATTTATATTTTCATCATATTTCTTTAAAATGATACTTATCTTTTGTTCCGGCTCTTTTTCTGGCTGTTGAACTAAATATCAGGAGGGAAATGATCCAAATGAGAAAGTTTTTCATTTCAAAGATTTAAGATTAAAAACAAAAGTTTTCTTCTTACGGTTGTTTTTCCTCGTTGATGACCTGCAATAAAAACAGAATAAATTTTAAAACTTTGCTGAACACAGAACAGCTTTGAAACATTTCTATTAAAAAAGACTCTTATCTGTGTTTTCAGTCATGCAGTCACAGCTCCATGGTCACTCAGTGACAGAGTTCAGAGAGACCAGAACTAAAACTGATATTTTTTCACAGTTTTGACACCAGCTGGTCTCCAACAGCCTCAAAAGATCCACAGCAGCCAGTTTCATACCTTGATAGATTCTAAGTGACCTGAAGTTTGGCCAGAAAAAGAGGCCTTTTGTACAAAAGTCAGATTTCTAAATTCAGGATATGAGCTGTAAGCTGAGCTTGAACTAGCTTTCAACTTGTAAACAGCTGTTATCAGTGTCTCTAACACCAAGCATCGCTCAATTAGGGTGGTTCATTCAAGCCAGCTGTAAATAATCTGGGATTAATGCACGTTCATGGTTTGTTCACCAGACCCACTGGGTGGATCACTAACCTGATCAGACATGTGCAGTAAGAGACAGTTTATCAGATTAAAAAAAAGTTAATTTTGGGGTAAGTTACTCTTTAAAATGGACAAAAATTGCGTAATAAATGTTACTATGCTCTTGTTTATTTGACGTGAAAATAATGTTTATCAACTGACCACAGCCGGGGCCACAGGTCTCTGCTGCTGGTATTTTGTGCTGAAAAGTTTGGGAACCACTGCTCTAGGCGACCGCCTTGTTCGCCAATGCCAAGAGCCGGCTCTGAATCCAACATATTCTGATCTTGTTTAGTATATGGGTCTAAAACAAGATCAAAAATACTTTTTAGCTGATGTAAGACAGTAAAACTTGGTTAGAGGAACAGTTTTCTGCAGTAAAATGACTCTACTGCTCAAAAACACTAACAGATTAAATAAACTTCACTTTAAGCCTGATCAGGACCAGGTTAGTCTCAGAGCACTTGTTACCACAGAAACATAAGTGCTTCGTAGTTCAAGGCTTAATTAATTCAGGTTTACACCTAAATCCTGGTTTAATCCCGTATCCTAGATTCGTGCAGTAGGCCTCTGGTGTTTTATTTTAAATGCTAAAATACATAAAACACAGATCCATCCAGCAGGCGGTGCTGCAGAGTCATAAACAATCTGCTCCTCTCCTCATCGAAGAAGAGCCTCCTCCTCCTCCTCCTCCTCAGYATCAGCATCAGCACCAGCAGAGACGTGTCCTGCCCCCACCTCCTGAGTCTCTGCTCCACTGCGGACCGCGGCCTGTCTCCAGCTCATCATGGACAACACGGGCAAAGAGAAGGAGGCCATGCAGCTGATGGCGGAGGCCGACAAGAAGGTCAAAGCGTCCGGCTCCTTCCTGGGAGGGATGTTCGGGTAAAACAGGCTCTGCTGATTTCTCACTGTCCATCCGTGTGTTTGCAGGGGGAGGGGGGGGTCCGCGCGCTGGGCCCCTCGGTCCACAGGACTGCTTTTATTTGGAGCAGATCGATCCTAATTCTGCGTGTTTATAATAAAAACCAGAACTGATGATTCAGACCAACGTGTTTATCACCAGAGGCTTCATAACAGGCCGGGCTGAGGCTGCGGGGAGGCGGGGAGAGATGGAGAGTCAGGTCGGGCTGAGGCTGCGGGGAGGCGGGGAGAGATGGAGAGTCAGGTCGGGCTGAGGCTGCGGGGAGGCGGGGAGAGACGGAGAGTCAGGCCGGGCTGAGGCTGCAGGGAGGCGGGGAGAGATGGAGAGTCAGGTCGGGCTGAGGCTGCAGGGAGGCGGGGAGAGATGGAGAGTCAGGCCGGGCTGAGGCTGCAGGGAGGCGGGGAGAGCAACCGAGGAAACCCGGAGGAGGAGGAAGATGAAGAGCAGGAGGAGGAGGAGGGGTCTCAGTTATTATTCGTTTGTGAAAGGGATTAGAAAAGAGGACATTTGCAATTAAAATGGATGAATGATATGAAGTCTGATGATCGAATATTAATCGATGAGAACTGAGGATGTTTGCAGAATTTAACAAATGAACCTTTGGGTTTTTTTCTGTTAAATTTACAGATGTTTCATTCATCCTGTTTTTGTTGCTTCACAGTCTTGATTAGAGTTTTAAAATTTGATTAGGAGCATCAACTGTATATTAATGAAGTAAAATATAAAAAGTAGAATTGTGTATTTATTTTAACCATTACCTAATGAAACCTCATTAGTTAATCAACCTGTGAGCAATCAACAGGTCTACACTAATGAACAGACATCATGAAGACCAAGGCAGACTCCACAGGTCAGAGACAAAGGACTGGAGGAGTTGGATTATAACATGATCACAAAACCTTGAAGGTCCCTCTGAGCTCCATTAAACTAAGAGGACATGATCAAATAAAAAGAGAAAAAAGTAAAAAGTAGGTTTATATGTGAGAACAAGCAGCTGTTAATCTGTTAAACTGACAGTCTTCTAGTTTTTTTGGGGATGCTGAGTTGATAAGTTGTGGCGGCCATCTTTAACTGACTTACAGAATCTGTAATGATTATTTTCTGAGTGTTGTTAAAATCCACCGACTGGTTAATGAGATGTTTTGCTAAATAAACACAGACTCACTGACAAACATCTAAAATACATTTTCTTTATAATAAAATACTACAGACTCAGTCCAACTGGTTCGACGCAGGGAGAAAAAAATCACTCAGAGCTGAAACAGTTTTCTTGTAAAATCTCAACGGTCCAACATGTTTGGATCCACAGAGAGAAATAACCTCAAAACATCCTGATAAATGTGACAGATTCATGAGTGACTGTTAACAGAACCAAACTGGGTCACATGTGGAAACATGTTTCTGCTCTGATGATTACATCATAATAAATGCTAACCTGTAATTATAACTTAACTCAATATTCTGAGATACAACCTCATAAACAGGATTTAGAGGCTCTCATCAGACTGACCCAGTTGGACTTCCTTACAGATATTTCCTGTCTGAGCAGCAGCTTGATGATTATTTAATGAGTTTCTGCTCTGATTTCTGCACTCACACATATAAAAACTGTTTTCACTGTGAGTTTTAACATCTCCTCCAGATGTTTACTGAATATAGTTTGTTAGTTGTCCTCTCAGATGCCTGTACAAAATGTAAAGGCTTCTAAAACACAACGTTTAGACAAGAGATGCCCAAAGTGGGGCCCGCGGGCCAAAATTGGCCTGCCAAGCTGTTTGATTTGGCCCACCAGCAGTTGTCCTGGTTACTAGATTGTAATTATGTTAAGATTAAATATAAAATACAAGTAACTATAAGAGACATTTAGATTAGATTTAAGCCCATACAGATTTGCACACCTTATAAGACCACATATATTCAAATTTTAAATTATGAAAAGTCCCATGAGCCTTTGCTGCCTGAGCGTACGTTGAATTTTCTCCATGGGCTGAAAAAAAAACTAAAGAATGTAGGCAACCACACTGTCTGCTAGCTTAATCATAAAAAATAAAACAACTTTACTTAAGTATTTGCGTATTGCATTTGGCCCGCGGCCCTCAGATTGATTTTAATTTTGGTCCTCTCAGGGAAAATGTTTGGGCACCCCTGGTTTAGACACTTGTTGGATGTTTCAGTGCAGAATTATTTTTTCCACATTTTTATCATTGCCTAAAGGCAAATGGTTGATTGGTTTTGTCCGTGTTTGTGTCTGTGTTAGCAAAATATCTCCTGAACCACAGGACAGATATTAATGAAACTTTGAAAAATAATTAACCCAGTTCAAAATGGCCTCTACAGCAAACTGACCTTATAAAGACAAAACTGACTGTAATCCAGTCAGTTTGACAAACACTGAAAATTATGTAGCTCATTTTTTTAACCCTCTGTTTACCAGTCGCTCTATGTTCCTACCCTCACCTATGGTGGTGAAATCTAAGTGACCAAAAGAGTGAGATCATGGATACAGTTGAGATGAAGCTGGACTGAGACAGTGTGAGAAGTTCAGTTATCCAGGAGAGACTCAGCAGAGCTGCTCCTCCACATCCAGAGGAGCCAGCTGAGGTGGTTCATCTGATGAGGATGACTGCTGGCCTTACACCTCTCTGGAAAGGTGTTGTTGACATGTCCATCTTGTCAAGCTTAGGCAGTGAGGTGGACCCAAATGCAGACATGCAGGCAGAACTCCAAATAATAATAAATGTTTATTAAATCAAAAAGCAAAACTGGATGATGGATGGATGATGGATGGATGGATGGATGATGGATGGATGGATGGATGATGGATGGATGGATGGATGGATGGATGGATGACAGATGGATGATGGATGGATGGATGGATGGATGGATGGATGGATGGATGGATGGATGGATGGATGGATGGATGGATGG